TTAAAGATGACGGTTTTCTCATGGCCCACTGCACGAAGCTTAGAGTAGAGTGATGTCTTTTAAGAACTTAAAAATTATCCTGGGTTATCAGGTGTCTAGCAATACAAGATTAATTGTTGTATTTCACGAAGTTCTTTAAATAAATTTTGAGCTAAGTAAGCACTGTATTTCGGGGGTTACTACTAGTTTTAATAAATTGTTATTTAATTACAACGCTTTTATCAACTTGCAATGTTGTGTGTCCAGAAACTTTCAATGTTGTGGATCCAGAAACTTTCATTGTTGTGTGTCCGACACCATAAAGCTTTGCTTTGAAAAGTTCCTATAAAAAAGCATAGTGCATAGGGCGACATCTGTAGTGAATAGGGCGAGGTAGATGACATCTAGATGTCGCCCTATGTACTACGTTTGCTACAGCGGAAATAGACGACACGCCGATTCTTTAAATAAAATTAATTGGTGCTCGTTTGTATGTACATACATATGTAAATGCGTGGGTATAGTCCAACCTTTCACAATATCTGGTATTAGTCTTAATTTAAATGTAATAATCATTGGAAATTTGCGCCGAGCCAACCCCACCTGCCCATACGGTGCGATGCCCAACACTTACTGTGGGGATTTCACCTCATGATTAGAAAGTTCTTTTCGAAGCTAAAATATACATAATTATGTGTTATTTATGAACAAAATGTAGGTTAAGTATAATATTCATCTTTACTGTATGCTGATATTCATGCTTAATGAAGAATAATATCAATATTTAAGTACATAATTAACGCTTGTGTTTTATAAACTGGAAAACTCAAATCGTTATTATAGCACTGAATGGAGTTTTCTTAAATGTAAGTTAAAAATTTAAAAAAAGTCCATTTTAAGATTATATTTGTATGAAAAAGGAAAATTTTGTGAATTTATCAAGCAAAATTCTAAGTTTCCGAATATATTTAAGCCTTTATTAAAAAAAAACCAAGGTTTGTATAGTTACACAGATCCAAAAGCCTGCCAGCGCATCCGCCCAGACAGTCCAATAAGTATACCAAAGTTTGAGTGATCTACAAGTTACTAGCGTTTTCAGCATTTAACAGTTCATTATCGCGTACGGTGTAATATAACAAGTTTTCCCCTTAAATATGATAATCTGTACTAGTATCTATAAAAATAGACAATAATTTGCAATGTTTTTACACTTTTGCAATTAGTTTCGGTCACTATTACACAGTCATGACTTGTGCCACTTTGCCATAGTACGGTTTCTGCTCCCTTTCATACCACAGTAATTTTGTATACAACTCTGAATCAACAAAATTCACGCTCCATCTCATTATCAACCCTGATCAGATTTTACCCCCGAGGAGTACTCACAAAGGTTTCTTACTGTATATACTGTGCAGAATACGTTTTTTTTAGACACTGCTGCATTTAGCATATAAACAACCCCTCCAGAAGTGGCAAGCTCGTACAGTGGAAGAGAAAAGGATTGTTAAAGAAACAAAAGAGAAATTACAGAAAGCCTTCAGAGAAGAAATGGGTATACTTGTTGATGTTTCTAAAGCTGGCTTTGGAAATAGCAATGGTGGGAATACGTCCAGGAGATTTTTCCAAAATGCAGAATGCTCTTCTCGCATTACCGGCATCAACTTGGAATTATTCAATAAGTTTAAAGTGATTCTTGAGGTAATGTCAAGTGGCGATGAGGTTAATCACCAAAAATTTTATGATTAAACCCAAGACACTGCCAAACTGGCTGGCATCCAATGTTGCCTACGGTCTACAAAATTCTGATACACGGAGCGCAAGTGATGGCAGAAGCAATTGGACAATTGTCCGAGGGAGCCGCTGAGGCGCGAAATAAGCATATTCGCATATATCGGGTAGAATTTGCAAGAAAATTTTCGAGGACTGAGTGCAACAGAGACATTTTAAATAGACTACTTTTAACATCTGATCCTCTTTCAGGTCGAGCCAGCCAAAGAATAAGAAAAAATCTTGCCATTTTCCGCCGAGGTAAAAACTATTTTGATTGCTGCAACGAACTTAACGAACTTAAATAGGTCGGACGACAATACTGTTGAAGATATTGATGATGATGAAGAGGATTCGGATATTAACAACGAATCGGATGGCAACAGCGAATCGGATGGCACTGACTCCGAATAAAATCAAATTTTCTAAAATTTTTACTTAAACATTTTTTTTATGTTTTTGTTTTATGTATTTTCATTAATAAATCCAAAATATTGATTAGATATTGTTTTTTATTGTATTTTGAGATAATATAGGCCCCTAAATAATTTTGACCGCTTTTTTGGCTCAAATACCCCAAATAAGTATGTACATTAGGGCTGCCAGACGTCCCGGTTTCCCCGGACATATCCCCGTTTTAGACTATTTGTCCCGGTATCCCGGTCCAACCTTAAAATGACCCGGTTTTAATAAGTTAAAAAATCACTACCGGTGTTCTTTGTGAAATAGTTACATGTCCACATAGTTGGACTTTGCGCAAGCAATATTTGATGATCGATATACACTCTAAAAAATTTGTGTTTAAATTTGCGCATATTAAGATAGGTAACCAGTTTCCTCTCTTAATGAGTGCAAATTTACACAATGTGTTAACTAAATTAAACACTGCTTGTTTACTTGTGCTTATCATATGTTTAGCGTTCACAATTTCACAGTTAACAGATCAAATGTTTAAAATTTGCTTTGAAAATTTTTTGTTTAAATTTACGCTTATGAAGAGAGTTAAACAGTTTCCCCTCCTAATGTGTGCAAAATCAAACACTGTCTGTTTACTTTTACATACCAAATTTATCGCGTACAGCAAAATTACACATAAAATGTAGAAAATTGAGTAAATGTCAGCACTTAATGTTTATTATTAGTAGAAAATATATTTTTACTTTCAAAATTTTTGCAATTTTAAACATTTCATATGTACATATATGTATATATTTTAAACATCGAATGTTCAAAATCAAATTTTGCAAACTGCCCTTTCTTAACTATTAGCATCAGCTGTTTTTTATTTGTTTTGCTCGTTTGTTTTTCGTGCATGCTTTACTTCCAATGTAATTTTCGCGACAAACTTTATAGAACATAAAAATGCCAAAGAGAGAAAGAAAGTATAAAATCCTTTCCGCTTGCACAGAAGAGTGCGTCATTTGTTTATGATGTATTTTGAAACCTATTACCGTCATCCCTTGTCAAGATTGGTTTGCAGACAAACCGGTTTCGGCGTTGCGCCATTTTCAGTGTAATTTTTCGTCGATTTGTTTCATTTGTTTTTTGACGTTATAATTACGGTGACCATCCGTTCTGTTTTTTGCAGGACCGTACTGTTTTTCAAAGGTCGGTCCTGCGTAGTTTTTCAAGCATGAAAATGTACTGTTTTTTTCCAAGTGTCCTGCATTTGTCCCGCATTTTATTCGTTATTTTAAAATTATAGGACAATGGATGGATTTTTTTTTAAAAGTGTATTCTGGTACTTTTCGTAGCTTTTCTTCAATATCTCATGAAAAAATATCCCAATCAACGTTATGAATTTACAGCTCGAAGGGTATTGATGTGCCTCTTACCAAAATATATAACTTATCGTCAAAGTCGAAAAAAGTGTGATTTTCAATCAGCTCGAAGGGTATTGATGTGCCTCTTCAATGAAAATTATTAGTGCCACAGGCGACCATTTGCATTTTGTCGTCAAAGTCGAAAAAAGTGAGATTTTCAATCAAATACGCAGATTCATTTGATTAATTTTTTTCATTAAAAATATTCGATAAAGAAGATATATCACTACAGTAAGTTTGGAGCCAAAGATAATGAAAATCGGATTAGAAATGAAGATGCTATGGAGCGCAATCTGCATAAATTATATATTGTTGTAAAGGGCACTTTGTAACTCGTTGTTTACGTCGATTCATGGTAGATTTTTGACAAATAACTGCGAAAAGTACCAAAAAATAAAAAAAAAGGGTATTGTTTTCGTTTTGAACGACTCAAAATTTGCCTATAAAATAATCTTTTAAAGATTTTCACTTTTCGTGTAAGCTATTGTGATTATAATATATTTTACTATACTTTTATAAATATTAATCTAAAAAAAGATTAATATTGATGAAGAAAACGTGACAAGTTTAAAATGTATTAAGAAATTAGAATCATAAATACTCTTTTGATATTTTTATACTACGTAAATATATGTAGGCATATTTTTGAAAAATTGTCCTTCATTTTGAAATCATATTTATGGTCACCGTAGTTATAATACCTTAAAAGAGAGCCTCACTGAGTTGTCAACCCCACCTTTTTTAATACACCTTGGCCATACCTAGTAGTCATAGTTCTTGTGTTAGATTTACCACAGTGTCCCGGTTTGGCAACAGAGATATCCGGCAGCCCTAATGTACATTCTAACTCGGTATGTATTTTGCTGATCTAGTTGTTTATTGCTGTATTTTTACATATGTATGTACTTTCTAATTATGTATGTATGATCACTGTGCAAGAATGATAGAATAGACAATATCACAGTTGTTGTTGGCGAGCTGTCAAAATGCATACAATTTCTACACAGAAATGTAAATATTGCACACAATTTAGTTAA